ACTTTAAACAACTTCTTCTGAATAACCAAAATGCCCAGGGTGATGATATTTAGCCAGTAGCATGCTGGGATAAAGGGCTATCCAGTTTGTTCAAATGAATGACCTTCACCCATATTCAAGGTCACAGGGGTCAAATATGTGAAAAACATTGAACAACTTCTTCTGAATAACCAAAAGGCTCAGGATGATGATATTTAGTCAGTAGCATACTAGGACCAAGGGCTACCAAGTTTGTTTAAATGTATGACTTTGACTTATATTCAAAGTCACAGGGTTCAAATTTGTTTAAAATCTTTAAACGACCTCTTCTGAATAACCATGGGTCCCAGGATGTTGATACTTTGCAAGTTGCATCCTGAGATGAAAGGCTATAAAATTTGTTCAACATAATGACTTTGTTCGACTTTCAATCACAGGGGTGAAATGTTTTAAAAAAAATTAACAGGGTCTTTTGAATGAATTTTAATCATAAATACTGATATTTTGCCTGTAGCTTTATTTTAGATCACTTTTAAGGCTTCAAGTGTGAGATTTATACCAGGTGAGCGATGCAGGCCCATTGGGCCTCTTGTTATTATTATTATTATTATTATTAACTATGATGATGATGATGATGATGATGATGATGATGATGATGATGATGATGATGATGATGAGTGACTATATAAAAGTGTAAACATTAGGTGACTATTTGAAATGTATTCACTAGGTGACTATATGAAATGTGTACACTAGATGATCATATGGAAAATTACACATCAGGTAACTATAGGGTATTTATGCAAATGACTATACATGTGATATAATGGGTTAGATTCCCGAGGGAAGCCTGCGTCGGACCACTGAACAGTGTTTAAAAAAGTTACAACATTCGCTCTGTAGAAATCAATGATTTCTATAGGATATATGAAACATTATTTGACAATGTTGGTTCTACAGAAATCAATAGAGATTTATATAGAAAATATAAATGCAATTAAGGATTGGTCGTCATATTTTTGACATGCATTGGTGTGTAACATACATTGGCTTACCTACATATTGAATGGTGCGCGCTAGCATGTTACGTATGTAGGTAAGCCAATGTATTTTACACACCAATGCATGTCAAAGAAATATGACAACCAATACTTATATTTACATTTTATGTTAATCAACGTACAGTTCACGCAGAAATAAAGACATAATATTAGTCTGAACATGTTTCAACGTTAGTGTAAATCCATACAGAGAACAGTCACCAGTTGACAGTGGAGCAGTGCAATCTCCAACGTTACAGTTATGACGTCATAATCATAGCGACGTCACAATAGCCCAATGTATGTTTTACGGTAATAACATACATTGGGTCCCGTAGAAACATATAGGCTCTGTGCAGTGGAAATGTAGGATATATAAATCAAAAGAGATTTCTATAGAAAATATAAATGCAATCTTATAAGACAAAGTTGGCTCTACAGAAATCAATAGAGATTTCTATGGGAAATATAAAGTTAGCTCTACAGAAATCAATAGAGATTTCCATAGCATATATATATCATAAAATGTAATATGACAAAGTTGGCTCTACAGCAATCAATAGAGATTTCTATGGGAAATATAAAGTTAGCTCTACAGAAATCAATAGAGATTTCCATAGGATATATATATACACTAGTATATATTATAAAATGTTATATGACAAAGTTGGCCCCTCGGAAATCTATGGGAAATATAAATGAAATTTCACATCATAGCAACCATTTTGCAAAAGATTGCATGCATATAAGTAAATATCTAAAAACAAACTTCATCAGATCAATATATGAAATGCATAAAAGAAAACTACAGGAAATTAATAACGGAATCACTACTAAAATCCGTGTAAGATGTCTTTGTCCGTCACCTTTGCATGTCACGTCGAACTCAACGGTATTAATTAATTACTGCAGTGCATTTAACGTAGTGACAGCATTATTATATTGTGTTTGCAAGAGCGAGCTTCTCTCGGGGTAAGTAAACATTCTTGGAAGTGTTTATTCATAAAATAAAAATAAATGTCTGCAGCCGTGCTCGTTATAGCGTCACTTCTGTGCATTACGGTATTAAAACCTTGCACGCTGTGATGTGATGCAGCCTTTGGTTGATTTGCTCCTCACCACGAACACAGTGCTGTCTTATCGTTCACATGTCAGATGCCCTAGTATTTCCACAGGGTAAATCATGTATGTTGGACCTCATCTAAAACCTCTATCGTAAAGATGAATTTTATATGTCGTGTTTCTCATTTCAGAAGTAATTCTCCATCTCTTCTTGAATATGGTTGTGCTTTTATAATAATTATTTTAATGTTTTAAAGATATTGCGTTTTACAGGTTTTATGACAACTCTTCTGAGAAGATAATTATAACCTTTGATTTTTAAGTATCAATAGAACAGATCGACCTGAAGAGCTGCATGTTACAGAGATATTTAGTCCTTCTGAGAGATCAAATAACAACTTTTCTATTCCTTACAGCAATACCAATGAACGAGTCTTATCACTGTAAAAGACGCTTTGCCATCACTAGGCTGAAAAGAGGCATATACATGACGCCTTAATACTATACGTAAAATTGCTGATCTCATCATCTATGTGAACAGTTACTTGGAACATGATCACGACTAAATCACCCAAGCATCAATATGAAAAATGTTTGTAATATAGCCTAGTTGAATGGAGATTGTCGAATACCTCCGAATTCGTGTTTACATCATATCTATCTTTTTATGTATCTTAAGCGGCTTACTAATTTTGGTCACCAAAGGGAAAGCAAGATTACCCTCTCATCACGAAGAAGGTGGGATTATTTACCTCACGACGACAACATCTATACGAAAGGCTGGACAACAATTGTCTTTATAGTATTATCACGACAATGTATGTCAACCATAACATGCCGTTCTGTCCAGAAAATTATAAAACGTCCACAATACCTGACAACCAATTGATCGAATTGGAATGCTGACCTTTATTTTCAGTCACGTGCCTGCATCGCGTGTGACCCGGAACCATTCTGATAGAAGCCACGTGTATATGAGAACGAATAGGGTTGGCTAATTTCGGTGGTCACACTAGAAGAAGTATGTGCTGTGCAGATGTGATTTGTGAACATGTTCTTTATATCTCTGGACATAAATCAAATATTAACGGTTATATTTCAATGTAGATAGACATTTATTTGAACAAGGATTTCCGGTTTGTTTAAATAGCTTAATTGTATTGCTGAAAATCAACTGCTCTTGTTACGTGATAAAATCAACAATAAGATCATTAATAAACGACCAACTGTTATAATAAAGTATACAATAGATAAACAAGGATGCAGGCTAGGAACCGATGAGTCATAGACAATGAAGTAATTAAAATAACAAACAGGGTTTCCATTTAATGTTACACTTTTATATTTGAAGCATTTAATGTAATTGTCGACACAATCTGAAAACAAATGCTTTGTTCAAAAGGAGATTTTTTTCTTCTAAATATTGATAAACAAATCTATCAATGATTTACCCATTCAGTCACTTTGTAGTTTCTGAGTTTAATTCAATGATAGTGTTTGTTTGAAGAATAATTAGAAGTTTCCGTATACTGGTATACACATAATATCTATACAGATTGTATCGTTTAATGGTTAATACATGTGTTGTATTAACCAAACAAAACATGCTGTTACATATGCAGTTCATTCCGTATTAGTACGTACCGGCAAAACAATAGAAACATGCTGTTACATATGCAGTTCATTCCGTATAAGTACGTACCGGTAAAACAATCAAAACATGCTGTTACATATGCAGTTCATTCCGTATAAGTACCTACCGGCAAAACAATCTAAACATGCTGTTATATATGCTGTTCAGTCCGTATAAGTACGTACCGGTAAAACAATCAAAACATGCTGTTACATATGCAGTTCATTCCGTATAAGTACGTACCGGTAAAACAATCAAAACATGCTGTTACATATGCAGTTCATTCCGTATTAGTACGTACCGGCAAAACAATAGAAACATGCTGTTACATATGCAGTTCATTCCGTATTAGTACGTACCGGCAAAACAATAGAAACATGCTGTTACATATGCAGTTCATTCCGTATTAGTACGTACCGGCAAAACAATAGAAACATGCTGTTACATATGCAGTTCATTCCGTATAAGTACCTACCGGCAAAAAAATCTAACCATGCTGTTATATATGCTGTTCAGTCCGTATAAGTACGTACCGGTAAAACAATAAAAACATGCTGTTATATATGCTGTTCAGTCCGTATAAGTACCTACCGGCAAAACATTCAAACATGCTGTTATATTTGCTGTTCAGCCCGTATAAGTACCTACCGGCAAAACATTCAAACATGCTGTTATATATGCTGTTCAGTCCGTATAAGTACATACCGGCAAATCAATCAAGAGCTTTTTTTTTTTTTTTTTTTTTATCTCTGCTGTCCCTATGGTTGTCTTTTCCGGTGTTCTTCCTTTGTTTCTGACCCTGCGGTAAATTTTGTTACGCATTTTAACAATCACATGTTTTGATAGTAGAAACATACTTAAGGGATGAACTTCATGAAAAAATATTATCAATAATTAAGAAAAGAAACAAGAGGGCAAAAAATAAATCAACTTTAGTAATGACTACAGTCATATACATTTCATAAGTTAACTTTTAAATGGTATAAATATGAAATTATTTATATTTCTAGAAGTCGGTATCAGAATTTACATGTTCGCTAAGGGGGTTGCGAGTGCTGTTGATTAATCCTATAATTTTCGTATGCATCATTTTAGGTGATTCTTGTATCCAACAAGCTGTCACAAGTTATATCAATTACAATTCGACATTCGAATGAGTTGGTTACCAAATGGTTGAGTTATCAAATAAATGCATTTATATTCTATGACATTATTTTTCCTCGACACGTTTTATTGACATATCACACTTTAGTCCAATAAATGGAACAGATGTCATTTACATAACACCCCTTCCAACGACTTGCTGTATTATTGGAGTGGATCTATCCTGATGATTAGGCCACACTGACCGAATTTCGTGTGAACGTAAAGGTAATTGTTTCAGACAGATGCAAACAGTAACGCTACAACATAAATGTTGTAAAATCTCTTTTATGGTTCTGTTTATATTGTTCAAAAATTCACCAAACTCAGCTTTCCTACTTAATTTGGTGCCTTACCAATCGGAGTTCTGATATAAGTTACAAAAAACATTGAACGAAACATTGGAAAACTTCAGGTTGTACTTTATTTCAAGTCCTTTCTGTTGATTTGGAGATGAAACCTACTGACTAATTATAATTTTCCCGGCTAATTATGAGATGATGAGAAATAATGAGATCTAATTGGTATATGATAGTAACATTGCGACAAAATTCTTTATCTTTCCCTAGCTGACCTATCGCAAGCGGGAAGTAGGAATGGTACAAATGCTATCCTCGCCGCTCTTCTGTCGCCCAGGTACCAACCAAGAACTAATCAGGTATACAGTATATCGTCAAAATTAACACCGAGCCGAACGATCGATCGCTCTAACATGGCGACAATTCTCGGAGGGAGGTAAAACAACTTCTCGTTCAGGGACGTTGTAGTAATTGAATTTGTACAATACAGGCCATACAAACTTTGTTCTTGCCGCGATAAAAAAAACCCTACATGTCAGTCAAACGTTATTCTTATATACTGTTTCCTTTTATCCTTTACGAATAGCCAACTACTTTCCTTTCATTCGAGAATTGCACTGAGGGGCATTTGTTCCTCGCATATTATTTATTCGCATGCCGTTATGCTGCGAGACTTGAATTGATTGTGTTCTCCTACATATAGGACGATTAAATATTATCTTATGGACATTATATATATGATAAAGACGATCGGTAAAAATAGTCAAAACATCAAAAAAACTAAAAGGTAATCAAGAACAGAGTCAATTAAAAAGGACAGTTCAATTAAACAGCAGTTCAATTAAACAGACAGTTGTTGGTTATCGGAAGCAGTTAATGCGCCACATGTGGCACCCGACTGAACATATTTAATATAACAATACCATGATGTTATACATCATTTTTAAGATGTCTGCTTCCTTATCAGAATAACATGTTTACTGCAATCTGGTAACGAATATTTCATTGTCTCATGTACATTTAGTCTTAAGGCAACGGCTACCAGTCAACTGTTATTATTTGTATACTATCATAGACTTCCTCCTGAATTGTACGATGGACCTATATCAAAATTAACAGAACATACAACATTGTAAAAACATGATAAAAGAAGAAAAATAGGGAAGACAAAGGAAAAGAACACTTCATAACAAAAGTTGTATAAATGAGAGAACACTCCATAACAAAAGTTGTATAAATGAGAACACTTCATAACAAAAGTTGTATAAATGAGAACACTCCATAACAAAAATTGTATAAATGAGAACACTTCATAACAAAAGTTGTATAAATGAGAACACTTCATAAACAAAAGTTGTATAAATCAGAACACTCCATAACAAAAGTTGTATAAATCAGAACACTCCATAACACATTATTGAAAAAAACTCGAATATAAATATAAAACATTTCATGTTAAATGATATATTATATTTTATTTATATAACATATCACGTCGAAAGGATATCTGTGTATTACAATATTACACAACAAATGATATTTGTTATTATTGAAATGCTACATATACCACGTTAAACGATACCCGTTATATCCGAGTAAAAACAATAACAAAATAATAAAAGATATCTTTTGTTGGTGTAATTATATACACCCCTTTTTAAAAGCTATCAATGATAACAATAGCGATATAAAAACGATATCTGTTTATCATAATTATACAACATTTCATGTTATACGATATTTGCTATCATTGTAATTGTACACCATCGCACGTAAAAGGATAACCGTTATCAATGTGTACAATTTCCAACTTTTTGTTGGTCATTGAGTTATAAAGTACGATATCATGTTGGCTTCATGGATAACAATATAAGATATTTATTATTATAATCAAAAATGCATTTTTAATACACGGCTTTGTAGTTTGCACAATCAAGCTGAATTGGTGATAAAACATGCAGATTTCTTCTCAGAAAATTCGATCATTTGGAAATATTAATATAATGACAAATCCATCGATTTTATATTGCCAGCATAAGCATTATTTATACGAGGTAACAGCTGCCCTTCTCATTATCGTGTTCTACATTCAGACAGTAGGGGGGAACTGCCCGTTCATTTTGTGACATCACGTTCAAAAATTAATATAAAATACCAATACATAAGCACACATCTGGGCAGTCAACGGATTATAAAGTAGACTAGACTCGTTCATTTGAACCTGTCATTCTTTTGACATTTGTTAATCTAAAAGTGAAACTTTGTTCCCTATTAAATGAAGCCACTAATGATTAATATTTTGTGATTTTCATCATCATGTCAACAATTCGATCAACCAGTCGTGATACTTCTAAATAATGTTTTTTTGAATGGCAAATTGAGAAAATTGACTATTACAAGTAACTGTGTTATCTTTTTACGTCCTCGTTTGTTAACATGTTCCTTACATCATCTTTGAAAACCCATATACTAGTACCGATATGTAGTGGGAACATATAACAAAACCGTGTCGTATTTGGTCTAATAAGTCCATATCGATCAATAGTGATAAATATGCTGTACATATATATACACACTGTAAAACGCATACAATCGACAGAAATATGGCTGAGATGGAAGGGAGGAGAACGACCTATGTAATGAACACATAAATCCCACCGCCAAATTAATAAAATGACAAGACATTCATAGGTCGTCATTGACAGATCGTCACAAGTAATGAATATCATAGACATATCACAGTAGTTCAGAATCAATCTGTCGTCAGATGGAATGTACTCACCCCCTTCACGGCGACGTTTATACACCGCTCTAATCGTACATAATCGATCACTATTTGTGAGTATTACGTTTATTTACAGCACCAACATAAAATGTCGTACAATAGAAAATATTATATTATTGTTGAATACTCGAATTTTAGAAAGAACAATCAAGAGAAGGTTTGTAATTGATTATGAACTAACAAATGGACTTTCATTAAATGTTTTTACACGAATTGCTGTACTATTGATTCAATCCCATATATATTATGTATGGCATTTTATAAGTCCATAGGTCATACTTTTTATCTGTGTAATGGTGTAAATAAACGATACATATATAACCTCATATATAAACATATTAAACTGAAATAAGAACAAGACCAAACAGAAGAAATCACACGAATTAACATAACATGGTAAAACATATTTATGATCTCTGGCTGAATTAATAACGATTGCTCAATTCTAAGAAATGCCTTGTGAACTGTAGTGCTATATTGTAAACCTAACCTGGCATTTCAGGTGAGTTAATGATTTTAACAACGATGCCATCAACGTAATGGTATTCCTCATAGTGTTAGTTCTCTAGTAAAATAAAAGTACGTTAAGTACCAGCAAATATTTTCCATTACATCAACTTACTGTAAAACGATACTGACGAACGCATAATCATGGAACTGCAGAAAAGTCGTAATGAATAAGAAAACATATCTTGTCTGCTCATTATTATAATTATATAACTTGAAAAATTATTTTAATGCAAAAAGACACATACACACAAAATGTATTCATGTTTTCCTTAAAAAAGGTAGATTTACAATACAAAAATCACATATTGATGTTTAAACATACATATAAATATATGTACCTGATAAAACATGTTGAAAGGTATATAAATAAAGTCTAAATTGATTTTCGTTATTTTGAACAGAGTATAAATAAAGTCTAAATAAAATCTAAAAAATAATGATGCTTTCTTACTTTTCATATGCCTGTGTATAATTGGCTTTTAAATTTTCTTATAGAAAATCTATAATTCCACATGCATTTGAGTAATGGTCCATCAATGTTTTCTCACTGTTAAAATTAACTCAAATTACTTAATTACCGCATAATAAGTCAAAAAGGACCGATTCGTGTTTAAAAGTCAAGTATTAGACTTATAAAAATAGCAGTTATTAAAATGTGTAACATTTTTATAAAATCACATGATGTGTGATGAATTTACCCATTTAAAAGTTATGTCGTGGTTTCACACTAACAAGAAAAAGCTCGAATTTTATTGGTAGATATTTCTGTATGTTCATTATTACACGAAAAATGAAAACTGCCCTGACGTCATAATCTTTTACATGGCATCGCCAAAACACGTTGGAATATGTTTTTCGTTTGATAAGAGATGTATGGATCTCTTTGGGACACGTTCTTATCGCTTTATGGAATCCATTTTCGTCCTATGGGATCGATAAGAATAAGTAGTTTTATCACAAGCTGTTATACAGTGTAACAACACCATCATATGCATTTGTCATGTGCAGAAATTGTAATATCATTCATTTTGAGGTCAAAAGGAACAACCGTTGACGTCATGAATTTACCACAAAAGAGAAAAGATGATATTTTCCATTACTAATGCTGGTCGCATTATTGACAAAATCTGTCAGTTAGACAATTTGGTGAATCATGTGACAAAACGAATGTCAGTCCCGTTTTCATTTCAAACGTACTGCACCTCGTTTCAAAAACAATAAGCTATGGGAATGAGTTATTTTTATGTAACACAAATAAATTTGATGAAAGTATTATTTTGGACATTGAAATAAATGTGTTTCTACTTTGGTATTTATTGAAGCATACGCGGGAAAGTCCAGTAATAAAGGAGCTATATCAAAACAATGGGCCAATGTAATTCTTGTTAGGAACAATGGGCCAAGGTGATTATTGTTAGGAACAATGCAGAATTTGATTCTGATAGTAGAAAATACAACAACTTAATTGTTTAAAACGATTATTTCTGCGAAAACAAGCGAAACTACATCTTACAAGCCTCAAAAGAGTGGACTCTTCATTTCACTTGGTTTTGGAACATTGCATTTTGACAAATCTTTATTCGACTAGTGGAGTCTTAGACACTGACTCATGTAGTTTGTTTAAAACACTTTCAATTAAAACAGGGTAGAATTATTAAATTCAAAATGAAATTATACTAAACACTTAAGATGAAAAGAGGTATGTAGATTTTATAAGAACATCAAAGGCACTGTACACTATACAGAGGAAAACTATAGGCAACAATTTAAGTGGTATTTAAATAAAGGCATTTGTGTAAGTGTTTGTAACGTCTTAAATCTGTTTATTATATTTGAAGCTTTAAATAATGTCTTTGAAAAACAAAAACAACTGATTCCTTGACACGTAACTTCTTTAACAACCAGTGTTGGTGTTCCCTTTAACAACCAGTGTTGGTGTTCCCTTTAACAACCAGTGTTTTTGTTCCCTTTAACAACCAGTGTTGGTGTTCCCTTTAACAACCAGTGTTGGTGTTCCCTATATATGAAACCTGCTTCGTTCCTAGTTTCAATACTTACAGTTAGATAAAAATGTACTTCATCTTCAAAACTCAAAGGTAAAATCCGAATACAAAGCCGACTGTGCACTAAGGACACATAAAAACAAAAGGAAAGATTCCATAAATCCTCTTTGAAAAACGTATACAAAATGATGATATTTCACTCCATTCCTGTAGTGGAAATTACTTTATACACTGATATTTGCTACGTTTTGATTTATCTCCGTGAAAAATAACATATTTTGCTCTTTGAATTAAAACAAGAATCCTGTAAATAATGTATCATTTCACATACTCAGTGCGATTACTGGTGAAGAACAATGTGAAATTCTGTTAAAGAGTGAGGATCTACATTAACAACGACGACATATAACATTTTGTTGATGTTCACAAAAATATATTTGTTTTAAATAAGTAAATGCTGCTTAAGAAAACTGAATGAGTGCACTGGAAATATTACCAAGATTAGCTTTGTAAACGTTAAATAGCATGTTTTTGTTTAGCTTGCGACGTGTGTGTGGATAAAAATATATTGACCTACTAGCCTGCTGACCTGCAGGCCATATGTCAATAGCTTAGATTACCGAGTTTTAGTTACGTACGATTCAGCAGTGTATTCCCTAGCAAAACGCATTTCTCTGAATGTCTATTCTTTACATTTGTACTGAAATAGGAAGGTTTTCAGCTTCATTAAACGCACATAAAGGAGAAACATTGGAGCGTGTTATGTTACGTCTGTCATCATTGGTTGACTAGACGCTTGGGCGGGGCTTGTTTTTATCTCTATTAATTACTGCCTTGAGCACTACCCTCATAATCAGCTCCTTTCCATATTTCTGTGTTGATTTGCATTTACTTTTCCCGGGAAGTATTCTGAAATGATTATATTAAAAACTAAAGAAAGCCTTTTAAACATGATTTATTTTTGCATCAGATTTTATACAGAAGGTGAACTATTACACACATGCGTCTTCATAACATGACAACATTTTATCGTATGTTGGTGTACATAACAAACCATACTTCTGTAGCCAGTTATTATAAAAGCTTGAAACAGTTTCATGCATTACAGAATCTTGATTTTTAAAAACAAAATATACCACTTCTAAACATACAGCAAATATTCCTCAATGACGGTGTACGACGACATAACTCACTGGACAACGATAAGACACGGCGTGACATTTATAAAGCAACACAATCTGGTTTTATTGTCTACATTGGTGCCATCAAACTATTTATCATACCAACGTTATAAAAAGAAACAATACGGCATCACTATTGCACCACAACACATGAATACACATGACGCCAAACATGTTAACGAAAAATATTATATAATTACTAAGACAAAAGAGACCTAGGACATGAAGTATATATGGTAAACAATCACATTTGTAAAGAATGCAAGAGGTTAATCATGGTTTTGTGAAATAGCATAAAACATATTTCAAATTTTCAAGTTTAAACAAGTTTTCAATTAATACTGTTTGTGTTCAAAGCTAATTTAGCATTCATGAATTAAAATTGATACTTGGTGTAAAAGGCTCATTCTGTAACACTTACCGGGTACGCAAATAAACAAACGTGTATGATCGATACTACCATTATCAAAATTTAATCTAAAACATCTCCTATTTTTCTATTAACCCTGTTTCGCCAAGTGAAGAGGTATACAACTTGTATAGTAATAGCTTCATTAAAATTTCCAAATCCTCGTCAACAGCGTCAAGTATGCTCAGGGAAGGATTTTAACCTTAAGGCTTATCAAATTATTGTCGCAATTTTGTGATGTTGTATTACCTTTGAAATTGATGATGTTTTATTTCATCATCTGTGTATACAAGAACGTAATTGACAATAGGTCACAACTATATTGATTATTTAACTTGTTGAATGGGGGCTAACATTTGGCCCAAAATAATCCTCAAACACTATCATAATTGCACGAAAAAAGAAATACTAAAGTGATTGGAAACACAGAATGGTGCATTCATATACATTATTCACTGAGAATGAGAACATGCACATAAATGAATGGTTATTAAAATATCAAATAAAATATATATAATCATGTGTGATTAATCTGTTGTTAAAGGTAAAATGTTGTGTTTAATCGAATTCAACGAAAACGTGGAAAAAACTGTCGGACTCTTATAATAAATTACTCCTCAAATATATAGCACCTAAATCATTAATATATTTATCCTACGTTTCAAGTAACAGCAACAACTACTAAAATAGTTCCATTTACACCCAACAGGCGGACGATTAAAACATCTCGACATTGGTAACAATATGATCAGGTAGGGTCAGGTAGAAACAAAGACCAGGTGAGTCTTGACTATTGACCTGACCACTTACATTGATCATATGGGATTAATCTCTATTGTTTTGGGTAGTGAAATCAGCGTTGTTTGGTCAACATCTGACGGCTGGTATGCGTCTTTTAAACTAAAGACCTCATTTCAAGGCCAATGCGTGGCTTATAGAAGAAAAAATTCCATACGAAATAAATCAAAATTGTCAAAAAACGTTTTAAACATAAAATAGTTTGTTGCCCAGGCAACTAAGTTAATTTCCCCAACATTTGCCACTAAAGAACGCTAGTCAGACTCTTAGTAAGGATATTGATATCCGAGGTATCGATAATGAGTACAGGGTAAAGTTGTTAACAACTCTTTCAATATGATAGTATTTGATACTTTGTATGGAGTTTTTGTAGGTGTTTGAGATGTCTTTACACTACTGAGTGTTAAATAGCAGTAATCTACCAATACACTTTATTAACATCCATTCACATTAAGTTACGCACTCTTTTTACAAGTTTCAATTTTGTCATTGTTATTGAAACTGTAGTACATGTTTATTGTCCTTTTGATAAATTAATAATTATCCAAACACAAGTTTTATAATATCTTCACCTGTTTGTGGTCTGTTATGTAATGCTAGTATATGATAATTGTCAATTTTACGATGACTTTACCTTTTAACTGTTATTTTTTTTTATGTTTTTACTTTATTATTGTCAAATTAACTACCTGTTATTGATCCTTGTTATAATGTTTTTACCTGTTAATGGTCAGTTTTAACGTGTCTTTACCTGTTAATGGTCAGTTTTAACGTGTCTTTATCTGGTAATGGTTAGTTGTATATTGCTCTAAGTGGTAGCCGTTAGTTTTATCATGTTTAACCAGTTGATGAAAATCCCCAAAGGAAATCCATAACTTGTATAATTTCAAAATGAAATAGTTATATATTTTTACTTCAGCTAGTTCCGACTGAGCACTTTGTATTTTCAATAAAGTTTGGTTTAAAAATATAAGTAAAGGAATGTATACTATGAAATTATAGATCTGTGAAATTGAAAATTTCGATATATATGACAAATTAAATGTAGCTGCATGATTCTTAAATACCTTGAAAAATGCCCAGACCAAACAAATAAAACAAAATCCTTTTTATTTACTATAATATATAACGTATGTACCAATAACATGAAATCCGAGACTATATATCAAGAATTAATTATGTACTGTTATTTATATCCAACGTATTGAGAATATTATTTTAATTTAATTTTAGACTACCATCCAAGTATTTCCGAGCTTTAACCAAAGAAAATACAAGTGTTGGCTATAGGCTGAATATGAAGAGCGATGTTCCAAGGACCGGAGGCGGACTACAGCGGTACCACTTTAGGTTAACGATCAGTAATGCTGCAGTAGAAGAAACATTTCTAGATGCATGCCATTAAATATGAAATTTGGATATTTCAGGCATATGTACTAATCATTGACGAATCTCCTATCTGTCTAATGCCTTCATTGTTAGGCCTCTGTACGACATTGTGATCTCTTCTCTGGAATATGATACCAGTTTAGCATCTCTTTGACAACTGCTTACGTCAGAGCCCATGAACGTCAACAACGAGTTGTTGTAAAGCGAAAATCATGTTGAACCCATTATTGATTTACGTACCTGTTAATGATTTTAAGTGCCATGGGCGTGTTGAATGGGCCTAACGTAACATTAATGTAACGGAAGATAGTTATGACAAAACTGACATTTCATGTACTTCTTAAACAAAACCAGAAACTGATATTTGAATGTTTTCCTATTATTTTATATATACCTTTTTATGAATACATGCCCTGATTCTAATAAACAGTTGAACGGTTAGTGTGTCTGTGCTGTTGACTGTGGTATTGTACGTCAATCTGAAGATCTACTGTTGGATCAGTTCGTACCAGAACATACCTGGCACCGCCCAATTATATTTCCTTGTTCTAACGATAGCCTGTGACATAGTGTGCACACACACGCGATCCCTCCTCTCTCTGTTATGATTTGTTCAGGCAATACTGCATTCAAATTGATCTAAGATAAAAAAAACTCGTGCTATTCTTTAGTTTTCAATATTTGTTCAGCGAAACACATAAAAGCCGTTCTGGATTATGATTTGCTTAATAGCATAATGCCTACGGGCTATCTAAAAATATTAGATGCATTGAGAATAGATGAATAGATGGCAAATTGATTTTAACAACATCATTTGCCAACAGATGAATCTATTCGGAGATTGGAATATGACCTAAATGCATTTTTGTCTATAAGATTCTCAGCAATATTGATAATAAAAATATATGGGCTATTTTCTGCCTTTAAAAAGATAACAAGTTTCAGCTAAATATGGTTGTACATATGGCACATTTAAGGGACAATATAAACTAAACAGCTGATATTTAGTCGATTTTTTGTTGTTGTAAAATAATAAAATATTTTTTTCTACTGTTTTATTCCAAATATGACCAACGACAAGCGAACAACCCTGGAAAATGAATACTGGTATGATTGATTTTTAGAACTAAAACGTACTCTACATCAATACTTATAAAGCAACGACAAATCTCTGCAGTGGATGTTTGCGACATCCTATTTCCTATCTAATGGGATCGTTGTATAGATGCATCGATTAGCTTTATACCATTAAAAGGGAAATGTTGAAAATGGTGAAAGATTTTGAATATGGAAACGGACGAAAATACGACGAGTTTGTTTACCAATGGAGTAAAAGTGATATTACATTATATTATAATACATAGCGAGAATACATTACCTGATAATATAGAAGATATAGAGGAGGTTTATTTATCAGATTTTTACCAACGAAATATAAGTCGACATCGTTTTTATGTGAAGAGTAGTTTCACACATATACGATCAATCAGAGAACAGAATTAAGTGTGAATAATTACAACGGCGATGTCAATAATGACGTCACAATTACCATGACATTTTCTTATTGTGACGTCGTAATACAGTTTTCAAGATTATTTTTATAATAAGAGTGCGTAGATATCCTCTGCATATTTGATTGCAGTACATGTCTTCATTATAATCTAATACAGTTGATACAGGGAGTATGATATGGTGTGTAAAGTAAACGATAACACATTTTTTGTTTTAGAGGATAAATCACTTAGGTACACCAGTTATAGTCAACAAATGTAGAATAGTTATTCCTTCAGCGAATGATTAACGTATATATGTTTTATTGGATTTCTCATCAAAAGAATAATGAAATGGCTACCTAAATCACAACAAAATTAAGTGAACAATGGCATTAAATGACGGTACAGTGGATACGAAATCTGGAATCAGCGCGTGCATTGAAGGATATTTAGGATAATTACATCAATAATGAATAAGTCGATTTTAAAGTATAATGCAGTGGACACTTTCATTACATTATAATTAATTGCATACATTTTAAGCAGATAGTTAAGCGGATATTTTCATTGCGGGAAAATTAATTGGATGATACTTTAAACAATAATTAATCTAATACCTAGATTAAAAAAAACATTCAGTGAATTAAGGTTACTCTACGTTCATACATAAAATAATAGAAAAGTTGAGTGGATGTCTATATTAGAGGGTAGTTATGTGGATGTCTTAACAACAAGATCATTTACTGGATATCATTAGGGAAAAGTATAGGCATATTTCATGTAAAAGAAATAGATATAGGAAATGCTGAAACGCTTGATAAACGTAGAATTTTGTTTCATTGTTCTTACTACAATACATATTTTCATGTTTTATTTGAAAAAAAGTGAAAACTAAGAAAAGACGTGATTTTTTAATGGTGCTGAATTTGGCTTGAAGCTTATATTGTACTGATAAAAAGTCATCAACATTTTTTGGACATTTTAATTGCTTTTGTTCCGTAACCATTTGCAATTGACATCTAATTTTGAACAGGAAAATTGCTTACAAATATCCAAACAATAATGTCATATTTGAATAATTTTGTGTAAGTCTATAGTGTATTTGTAATGTAGAATCGAACAATATAAATGCAATTGATATAATGGAATTTGATCTAAGCTTAAAAGATATAACGTTTGGTATGTGTTTAATAGACTGACAATGCTGTCATTGTGACCAGGTGATGACACACACGAGCTCACATGGTAATTATCACGAAAAACTATTACGTAAGCCAAGAGGATAGAGACACTTTAAGCTGATATTGATTGTAGAGGAGATGACATCTATTACACTTATTATTACAATAAGAATATGCATAATCCCCCCTTAACTAAGAATATGGTACACAATTTATATCAAAATACGCGGATACTTGTTAGTGGCATCTTTCTCTGATAAATGACATTCATAACTGTATTGTTTTTTCAAGGTAAAGTCAGTTTATCAAACAAACCATGCCATAAGCAATAACAAATATATACTACCAGACTACCTTTCATTGAATTTCAACAGAATGCATAAATCACCGGTTTTTATTGCTTAATAAGTTTGAAAAGAAATATATATGCAGTATTTTATATTCACCTCTTCTTCTTCCAATTAAAGTGCAGGCCCTTAAAGGTATTAACATACTGTCACAGATTAATGAGGTATCTGCCCATATACTTTTTTGTATATCCTAATCAAGGATATATTCAACATCGCAAATATAACCCGATACACTGGAGTCGAACTGCAATTTTAGTATAACCACATAAAACAAAAGTGTTGCTATCTAATTACAGCAATACGGTTATCGAGGGCATTAACATAAACCAATCATGATTTTGAAGGTTAAATAAATATAATGTAAATTTAAAATATTACAGATACATTCAAAATGATAGCAAAAGGCACATTTTCTGCCAACTGTATTATTTCAATTACATAAATAACAACTTTCTTTATGTAAACCTGCAAATCGGACAGTACAGAAATTTAATAACATCATACAAAATTAACTAAAAGCCATACCTTGAACGAAAATATAAAGACTCCTTTGAGTCGGTAAAACACGTCATTGTTATAGCGTCTCTGTCTGTCTGAATATATGAAAAATACATGTGTATCTTTTTTTCTAACAAGTAATATGACTTATTTAAATAATCGAATCCAATTAAGTTGCAGAATTGTGTTTTCGACTGTGTTTCACAACATAAAGGTAGTATCATAAATCTAAGAGATTCACTTTCTCATTCTATTGTAAATGGTATAAATTCATCTTGTATTTGAATAGTAATGATAATATGTTTGCCTTTCTTTGAGATAAAACGGTAGAGCGTTATATTACATTACTGTCTATAATACAATGTAAATATAGTGGTTGGCCAGTCTGTGCCCATTCTATCAGAGCGGAAAGGTCATCTGGTGACTAAGACCTTGACATTAAAAGCATCCTCAACTTAACTCAAACCCATAGGGTGAATGTTTTCATTTGGAACACATTTAATTAAGCAAAAACGCTATAAAGAGTTAGTTCCTCCGATAAACGATAACACTGAATACTTAGTACCTAATATGACAAAAACTTACATTAATACTTTTAACTATCTATCCACTACAATTCCCGCCGATTGTAAGCTAGTCAGACTATAAACGACTTGGTCCTGGGGTCAGGTGTCCAGTCTAGTGATCGATGTTCATTTCACCACACACTACCGTGATGGTCTCAGCCACACAGAAAATTTAAATAAGTAAATCGCTAGACGTGCCGGTAACACGGCCTTTTGCCAGGGCGCAAAGTTATTTTTATGATAAGGGTGTTTTTATATTCATGACAAATATCAGCCTTCCAAGACATCACGGCAGGTCGATGGGATCAGCTTATCCTAACAGCCTTCCCCCACATACAGGGGAGCAGAAACGTATACATCCTCACTTCAAAACCAATCTTACGATCACGGCTCGTATGTACACCTTAACGCTGACATAGATATATGGAAACACACGTCGGGGGTTCTCTCACAACCAAAGCGGATCTGTGTAGGACTGGAGTTATGCTACATTCAGTTTGTGATTTTAGGCTGGGGACATGATGTCCTCTCCATAAGGATTTACAAGCAAGGATTATAGTAGACGTCTTCCATTGGCAACGCTGAACTTCAGGTGAGTGATTTCACTAAGGCAATATACACTGATTTAGATTATAGAAGACGTTTATAGAGAATATCTACATGCAATTGTGGTGCGTTGTAAAAATCAATTTGTGCTATAAACTTTTCGTTATTGTATCTGATGTTGTCAACAAAATTGATAAATAATATTTTGACGAATATCTTCGTTCTACAATTTTGCAGTGCATAAAAATGAAAATTTAAGTATACCACGTGTATTTAAAATGTAGATTTTATACCTATATGTGCATTTTCATAAAAGTGTAACTCATAACATGTATTGATTAGCGTTTGCCGTATATGACTTTGTGATCATGTTTAAAGTTACACCAAAAAACATTCTTCATTTCGAAATATTCGATTTTGCCAATGCTGTCTTTGCCAATCTAAAAGACATATTTATTAAAAAGATGTAATTTACTGACAAAACATATGCCAGCAAATTAGCATTGAAAACAATCAGCAAATTTCCGTACAGCAAATTGGAAATTTATTAACGTAATCAATCAATTTCTTGATGTTGAAACATTGAGGTTTATATAGCAATGTAGTCCTGGCCCTTCCCACCCCATGTAGCAGCCTGTCTATACGCCAGAGACATGCATCAGCCTAAAAAATCAACACAATTTAAATGTCAAAAGATGTTAATCTGCTATCTTTTCACTGATGACACTCGCAGGACTCGCTCAATAAAAACGCGAGAACATTTTCGCTTTTGACTACACTATCGGTGCCTGTTTCTTGGT